TACTCTGTGGAGGCTGAGGTTCCTGCGCTGGTCTCAACCTGGGCAGAATACTGGCTCAGCTCTTCTTCAGGCACCATGTCTTTAGTATGTCTGAGTGCTTCTGAGCGCATTGGCCACCATCCTTCTAATTAATAATGTTGGGTGTTTTTGGAGCCTTATTCTTTTTATCTGCTTTCTTAGGCTCTCCCATCTTGGATCTTTTCTCTGGGGGGTGTCTGGATGCTTCTCTAGATTAGTGGAGGTAGGCATGCCTGAAATGGATGGTTGAGCATTATCCATGTGAAGGGCATGGCTCCAAAGTTCAGCCTTTACGTAGTCTGCCCAATGTTTTCTCCTCTGTTTAGTAAATGCCTGGCAATGACAGCAGGTATCAACAAGGTGAGTTTTTCCCAGGCAAAAAAGGTACAGGGAGTGACAGCTGTGCAATGGGGTTTTCAGCACCATTTTTGTCTTACTGTTGAAGGCAGAAGGAGCCTAAGAGAGCAGGAGAGAGAAAAAGGCAAGAATAATAGTAATAATGTCTTTCTTTCTCTAGGTGAGAAGAGGAAGCAGGAAAAAACCTGAAGACAATTTTTTAAAAAGACTGAGGAGGGTCAAACAGCTAAAAATATTCACAAAGTAAGCAGAGGAGGAACTTTGTGATGTGCTCATGATGTTGGCTGAAGAACTGAGAACAAAGGTCTTGGCGGGAGCCCCTCCCCTCATGCTTTTTGTGTCTAGGGCCCTGGCTCCCACTGAATACTAATTAATCAGCTTTGGATTCTTCCCAAAACAGCTCCACACATGAACGCAGAGCCCGTATGTGTGATATACAGAGACCACAAAGAATGTTAGCTTCTAATATGGCATTACAGATTGTTTTCCTGACCTTAGAAAGCCTCCTCTCTCAGCTTCCCCACTCCCCGCTCTGTAATAGCATGATAAGAGTATCATGATCAGGGTTGTAAGGAATGCAACTATGTAATGCATAGGAAATGTTTTGAAGTCACAAAAAATGTTAAATATTCATTGATTTGTTATTTTTCTACACTGCCCAATCACCAAACCTCTCTTTTATTAGCATTGCTACTCTTGTGAAATTTCTTACCAGAAACCCTCCAGCTGCATCTTTATATCACAAGAATAAAAATTCATTCATATTATAACTAATTTGAACTAACTAGGTATTAATTGTTATGGGCCAACTTTGAGTTTTTGGAGCAAGGCAATGTGGCTTTGAGAACAAACATATGAAGTGTTTATTGTTCCAGTCAGGCATGCTGTGCTCCACAGTGCTTTCTTTCCACAATTAGTCAGCAATCCAAGATACTTTGAGGATTCTTTTTGAGTTTTTCCTTTAAAGTTTTATATTGTTGCAAGTTTCGTGATTTTCTGAGCCTGTCAATACTTCCTCCTTCACCACCATTCATCACCACCCTGCACCCTGCCCATTTTCCTCTTGTGAGGAATGTAAGGTAATGTAAACTGTGGCTTACACAGTTCCATTTTATCCTCACAACAACAGCCACCACATAAGACAAGTTAGGCTAAGAGTCTGTGACTGGCCCAAAGTCACCCAATAAGACTCATGGTCAAGTAGCGACTGGAACACCACAACTGACCTTCAGAAATAATACAAATAGTTAGAAAGAAAGAACAGCCATTTAAAATGAATTAAAACCATGGAACAAGGTAGTTGCTGTAATGTGCATACACATCCAGCTACAAATATGTGATTTTGCACTTATCTAGGAAAAGGCAACAGCTATACTCACCAGGGCAGAAAGTTATTCTCTATGGACCCATGCCACCACTGCCCACCATTTGTAATCATCACCTAGGAAGGGTCCTATATAAGACAAGCTTTTGGAAGCTAATCTTGATTTAGAACCATCATCTGAAGTTCACCAAGACTGGTATTTCTCAGCAAGTATCCAAGATAGTTCAGGGACATCCTCTTCAATCCACCTGGTACCTAAGCCATTTCCAGACTGCCATTTATAGTAAATGACAGAGTGCAGTCAAATGGGGGATCGTGGATCCCCTATTCTTCAAAACTGTTCAAGAATAGAGAGCATATTTGTGAACCGCTCAGAGTTTTAGCTTTTGGGTGGTATAGAAATTAATTAATTAATTAAATACTGTATAAAATGCTCAATAAACACCTTGAATAAAACGACAATTACCCACTGTCTCCTATCTAGTGCCAGCTGGTCAGCCCACTATCTCAGAAATCCAAAATATGCCAGTGCTTAGGTTTTGTACTTTAGCAGTCAGGTAAATCTTGGAGTGTAACGAGAAGCAGCAAAAGAACCTTTGAGAAAGGTGAGGCTAACAAAGGTGTGGAGACTATGACCTGGTCTAAAAAAATCACTGTGACTTAAAATAACCCACAGTGATTGTTCAAATCAGGTTCTGGTTAAATCAGTTTAACCCTAAAACGGAAGCTGTGTTATATGAGAGTTAAGTCTCACACAACCCACCTTAGCTGGATTCAGGCAACTCAACAAAGTATGATTGAAACTTCAATATTGAAAAGCCATTCAACACACCCATAATCCACTCTGGCTTAAATAAGACATGGTAAATATTTCAATTGTGCAAACCAACCTATAGTTTTAAAGCTTTGGGGGCATAGTAAAAAGCTTATGGTATGTAGCTCTCAATCTTCGGAACTCTGCTTACCTAGAACTGCCAGTGACATTCTAATTTTCTGACAAATGTTATACTTAAATATATAACAGCTATTCCAGAAAATGTATACAATTTAAACTTTCTGTTCTTATTTCAGTTTTCCTTCCTTATTTTCATGTGCTAATGCTGGGGGGGGATCATCAGTATATTTGTCACATTATCAAACTGATATTTTACAATCATCATTTATCTACCATAAATTTATTTATTAATATTTATAGATAACTTAATATAAAATCTAAGAAGTTTACATATAACTATATTAAAATAACTGTTTAAAATATATTATTAAAATAATTATAGCTGTACAAAAAGTAATGCAAAAAACAATAAAACAGATCATCATAATTAATTAAAGTCAATTACCAGCCAGGAAAAGCCTGCAAAATGGATGGGTTTTTGGTTACTGCTGAAAATATACCTCATTTTCTGCTTTCAGAATCATGAGGAGGAGGGTATTCCAGAAGGCCACTAACAAGGCCTACTTTTGAGATGTCACTTGGAGACATTCTGTTGGTTGCAGCACGATCAGCAAGTCATTCTACCAGCAACTCACAATTATCAGAACATTGACCCTCACAGCTAAAATGCAATGTCCTAAGCATCTGAAGCAAATCATACCAAGACTCATGAACAAAACAGTATATAAATGTTAGTAGAAACATATAGAGGAGGCTATTTCTTGCATTCTTCAGTGAAACTACTGTATTTTTAGAATGCTGTGGTTTCTAATCCTCATATATCAAGTTTCCAAAAATATTAGGAGAAAAAAGCCAAAGTTTTCACATAGTTGAGCAAAAAATGTGTACAAAATTTCTGTCAGCAATACTGTATACAGAATCGTAGGGTGTAGTCAATGAAAAACGATGGCTCTATTTTTACTCAACCTAAATATATGAAGAGTTTAAAAATTAACTCTTTCATTAGGTTAGCGGAATAAAAATGACATGGAAAAAGTTAGCAGAATCAAGCTGAAGCGTTCCATTCTATTCTCAGATATATTTTCAAACAATTAATGTATCCAAACTCTATAGTGCATAAGCACCTGGAAGTAGGAGGTTTTTAAAATTCTCTCTGGCAGCTGAATGCAGAAATTGGTAAAATCTTGTTTGAGGTATCTGACATACCAACTAGCTTCAGCTAGTCTGAATGCAGCCATCATTTAGATGGAGACCAAGCACTGGCAACCATGCATACCAGTTTTTCCTAATTATTTTATCTTCTCCAGTGTTAAGAGTTACTCAGTATTTATCTTAAATGGTAGATAATTGAATTGCACATTTCATAAATATTTGTCTTTAGAAGTGACAACAAAAAGTAAGTACATCATTATTTTCTCAGATGAAACAGCAATTGCAACTAAGTAAGTAGGTGAACAGTAGTACTTGCTTTCAGCTTTCACAAATTACATACACACACAAGAAAGACTGAGCAGTACCATGCTGCTTCAGCCTGGAGAAACATTTTGTGTGACACTGTTGATATTGCATGCTCAGTTTAACCACTAATTGCAGGAGAAGCAGCACGCACATATGCAGAGTACTCATTCTTTGGATCGTAAAAATTACTGTTTAGCTTCTTCCACTCCTAAACAGTGAGGAGAGGCTGTCACAAGAAAACTCTTAAAGAAGCAGGGAAGGAAATGAATTAGAAGTTTGGTGTGCCCACATCTGCTTACAAAGATGAGCAGAGTGTAAAAATGAGAGGGAATAGGAAACTTTACAGTTACTTTTGGATTATTGTCAAGGCAGACAGATTGTAATGTTGTACTTTAGGAATTCAGAACTACTACCTTTGATCAGAAAAGGACCTGCTATCTAAAAGAGTTCCTACATGTAAGCATTTCAGAAAGTCTGATTAGAGTACACGTTCTTTGTGTGCAAAGGGTGTGTGTGTCTGTGCACATGCGCGTGCATATACAAACAGTACATTTCTGATATAAGAAAGCATTCAAACATTAAACCCTGAATAGATTGGAATGGTTTACTTCCAGGAGAGTAATGTACTTTTTGAAAGTTTCAATAGAAAGGCACACTTGTCTCTGTTTGCCAATTTAAGATTACTGACTTTAATGAATTAAATTAGAAACTATTATTAACCTATTAACTCTGAACTTCACCAACATCAACTGCTACTTCTGCTTGCTAGAATTAGAAGTAATTTCTTCCTTTTCCTTGTTGGTAAAAGGGGAACATATGAAAAGGCTATTAGTATACAGTCTCTCAAGAAGGAAATGGAGAACTTTTACAAAGAATGATGTATATAAATTCTGGATACTGGATACATATATTCCCCATTCCCCGGAAGAATAATGTATCTCTATTTACCTTGTTCTAAGAGCTACCCAAGCAGCATCGATGTCAGCATACAAATTCTTCTCAGTTGGTTTTCCAGAACTTGCTCCATATCCAGAGTAATCATATGAAAATATGTTGCAATTAATCCGTGAACCAAGTCCTATGTAAAAGCTGCTCATCTGACCTAAGTCAACAGCATTCCCATGTGAGAAGAGCAATGTATACTTGGCGTTAGGGGAACAACGCACAAACATACAGGCAATCCTGTTACCTTTGCTGGTTCTAGTCATGAAACATTCAATGGCATCTTTTTCTCTAGAAGAGTATTGCCAGTCTGCTCGGTCAGAAAGATGTAGAGTCCAGCGACTCCCACTTTCATCACACATCAGTGTATATGTAGGATCTGGTGGCAAAAATGCCAGTTTGGAAGCTATTTTTCCAGGACATGGTGGACAACAGAATAGGCAGCACAGTTCACTAAACGAAAGATTATTCATCTTCCAATCTGAAATAAGAGGGGAAAAGTGTTAGCTTCCAGTAGAATTCTTCCACAACATACACATTCTCAGGGATTAAAAAAAAAAGGGGGGGGGGTGGCAGGAAAGAATCAGACACAGGATTGCACAAAATTTTCACCACAATATTACATTTTTGACCATTAATATCTAACATTAAATAACTCTTGCTAAATCACTTCTTAGATGACCTGAACTTCAAGTCAAGGATTTGTTCAAGAAAGTATTGGATTCTACTAAGGCCTAATTTTACCCTGAGAAACATAGCAACATTTTAATGTTAGCCAAATATGTACATTATTATAAAGCACACTTGGGTCTTTTTTGAGAAGCCAGGAACATCAAACAAAACCAACCACTTATTAGGAAATCTGTATTCAGCTTTTCACTTAAAATGCTCATGACAGCAGACAAAATTACATTCAGTATATGTAGATATACAGATTCTTAAAACAGGAGCTATGAAATTGACCAAACATATATCAAGAAGACAACCACAGCAAACTGGGCTGCATAGGTGAAAAAGGCACCATCACAAAAAAGGTCTTCTTTCTGACAGCCTCTAACCTAACCTCTGAGACTGGGCTACATGGAGAACTTCACCTGAAGATCTCTGACAAGATAGTGAGCATGGGAAGAGGTAATTCTTCAAAAACTCTTGCCCAAACCCAAATAGGGCTTTATAAGTCAACACAAGCACTTTTGACTCTGTTCAGAATCCCACTGGCAACTAACACAGGTAATACTACTGCAGCAGATGTCCAGTCAATAATATGGCTACCACATTCTGAATCAGCTGAAATTTCTGAACATTATTCAGGCAGCTCCATGAACAATGTACTGTTATTTAGCCTGACAACCGTGCTAGAGCACAGACAACTGTACATGGGGGGATACAACTGCAAAAGGAAAGTTGGTAAAGGTATGTGCTACTATAGATGTCATTTGCAGGGTGAACAACAACACTAACTTTAGAATCTCCCATAACCTTTTCTCAAGCTGGACTGCAACCCCATCCAGAACCACACAAACACAGCAATTATTTATCGCTTGATATACAACTCTATCAACCCTGTGAAAGCCTGTTCCTTTACAAGGCAAAAGATTTCATGCTTAGTATCACTTAATGAAAAGGCCAATCAAAAACTCCTAAGATGATCATATTAGCCTAAGAGATATCACCACATCCCAAATATAAAGGACCAATGTTAGCACCTTGCAGGTCCAATTCAAAGTAGTGGTTCTTACAGTTAAAGTCCTGAATGGTCTTGGACAACTTAAGTATTGCCTCATTTTATATATACCTAACAGCACAGTCAAATCAACATCAGAGGCCCTCCACTGAAAATGTAGGTGGACATGTGTGATGAGGTTTTTTCAGTTACTGCATCACACTGTAGAATTCCTCCTGACTATATTGTCTGTCTTCTAACATATGGCCTAAAGTTAGCATTCACTCATTCATTCATTTAGAAAATTTGTAGGCTGTCCATCACTGTCTTCTCTTTGGAAAAGCGATTGTTTTGTAAGAGATTGTTTACATATTAATAGTGTTCAAGTGCTTCTAATAAAGTGCTTGTCTACTTTAAGTTTCCCATACATAGTGAATTTTTAAAGTAGTTCACATTCTAATAGCAATAATAATAGCTTCAAAGCAATGCTAAGCCAAAGAATGCAAATTTGTCAATAGTGTAGCTCTAAGTAGAAGGTTATGCAGCTGCTGCTTGCTGCATGCCAGTTAGCCAAAATACAAAAGTTATTAGGCAAGTTCCTAACTGAACTTCTGTCTTACGATATCACTGATTCACCATCTGTACAGAGGTAGGCCAGCACAGTAGATCTCCTGTATACAACATGATTCAGTGTTATCTAAGAACAGGGTATAGTTATCAAGTCTGCAGATGACCGTATGTCTTGAAAAGATACTACAAACCTTTTTCAAACAAGAGTCATATAAAATAAACTGATCTGGATAACTTGGAAAATGGGGTGAAAACTGCAAATTGAAATTTCATAAAGTTACAAGTCGTATTGTGTATGCAAAAAAGGATCATCAACCAGTTAAGGCACACTGAAAGAAGTGGGTTAGACTTGGTCTTGGGATATCAACTTTCAGGACAGCATAGGACCCTAAGATGTGAAAGAGTCCACCTACCATCCAAGAAATGAGGGAATTCAATGTCCTGAAATAGGAGACCCCCAAAAATCTACACTGACCTTTTGAGATGACTAAAGTCTTGGTGCACTAAAACCCTGACCTGACAAGAAGACAAGAAAAAGCTCCTTGTCCATTACTTCAGCAAAGAGTCAGATGTCCTGTTACATTCCTACTGTATTTAACATATATTACTATTATTACTTCAACTTTTAAAAAGGGTTCCCAAAGCAGCTGTCATACCCCCAAAGTCTTCTAATGCCAGAGCTGGATTAGTATTCCTATTAACAGATCCTCATAAATTGGGCAGGGGCAGCACAAGATGGAAGAGGAGCCCAAGTTCAAAGGGCTTCAGCATTGCTGCAACAAAGTTACTTCTGGTGGTACTAATACAATAAACTACAACACTATATCATTACAATCTGTTTACGGAAGCACATGACATTTTAGTCTGGATGAAAACAACAGCTTATTATTTCAGATATATTTTGATTATGTCAGATATGTTTTGATTATGCTATCTAGTTTTAGCATATACCAGTATCAAGTACCCTATCGTGACAAGTTGTAATTTTCCACTAAGCTTACTGATTTGTCTATCTAGTAAGAAATAGCCATTTTAGAGCAAGCTGTTAGGAACCTGGAAAGCAACTTGCTTTCTGGAAGGTCACTTTAGGCAACAGGTCAGTGTTTTAATTTCAAGACGCATAACTTACTAGCAACATGCCACCATAGCCATCATATCCTGTCTTGACTTCTGTGATGACAACTTGAAATTGAAGGCTTCTAGATGCCACTTCTTAACCTACAATCTCTCCTTTTAAAAGTTTGAAATATCCTTGAAAATGATTGTACAAGTGGATATAGTATTCTATTATGACCTGGATAAAATCCACAGACAATGATCGATGCACTGTTTTGGTCCTCTTTTCAAATAAAAAATAGATAGTGGCTATTTTATAAGGTTGTTAATACAGTAATGATACCCAGTGTCATCTCTGTGGTGGCCCTTCTCTAGGCACCCTTAAAACAGAGATTGGGCAGGAGGCATCTAAGGAACTGACCTTTTATGTGGTCAGAGTTCAACTACAGAATGCTCTCCTCAAAATTTCTGCTGTGGCACATGGCTTGTTAAAGCTTTAGGCATCAGGCCAAAACTTTTCTTGTCACGCATGCAATGTACCTTTAACTGTACCTTTTTTTTGCTGCCCTTAATTTGATTGTAAGTTTTCTAATTTGTCTCATTGTTTTATTAGTTTCCAGTAAGATGCTTTGAAAACTTGTTTAAAAGTAGGATAGCAAAGATTTAAAATAAATAAATTACAACAATCAATAGTTTGGCACATCAGTATTAAAATCTTTACCTCTATTTTGCAAACTGTTGTGACTGATGTTCAAACAGCACAAATCCTAAAGATACAAACAATAATGTCTTAATCTAGGCTTTCCTATGACTCAATTATTTGTCAGATTAGAGGAAGCAATTTAATTAGTTATATTTGAATAAATATATGCATAAACACTCTTACATAGTTAGAATTATTTAACATATATTAAGCAACAGCACTGTATGGTGGTGAATACTACACATATACTAACTCTGCCTTGAGTGTCATTTTCTTGGGGAAAAGGTAAAGTACAAGGTTAAATGAATGAAGGAAAATACTCCAAAATATATTTATGGGCACAATGGAACTTTTATGGAGAAACAAAGATAAATGTTTGAAAATGTCTGATGGCAACTGCAACTTTAGATATTGGGAAGTCACATGGGTTTTAGCTATACGAACATAATTCAGAAATCCATGCTATGTTTTTACTACAAATACGAAGACTGGTACCAATGGAACTTTCCAAAGCAGTCTTCCTCACTCTGGTGCCCTCTAGATGTTTTAGACTTCAATTCCCAACAGCCTCAAACTGCATAACCAATCTTCAGGGATGTTAGAAACTGTAGATCTTCTGCCGGGCCCCAACTTAAGGGATGCCGAACTGTTTAAAGTTTACAGTTAAAAGAAACTTTGCAACCATAATGATAAAAACACCACTTAATTTGCTGCTTTGTAAAGATGTATTAAAGCAATTCTTGCATTGCAACCATACTAGTCACTCAGAAATACTACAGTTATTACAGCCACTTTCAATACCTGTTGCTAGGGTACATGAGCAGAAGGGTGTTAATGCATTCAGCAGGTAGGCCTTTCCTCTGATCCAGCACAACTGTAATGCCAATTTAAATACTCAATTCTATCTTATCTTGCTTAACTATATAAGCACTGTTTCATATATGTGCACTCTGCTGCATTCAAAGAAAGGTTTCCAAATCTGATGTAACACCTCTGCGTAACATACAAGCTAAGCAAAAAGTAGCAGTTGTGGCTGGTTTGCTATATTAATAGTAGTTCTGTCAGAAGCCTAAGCAAGCAAGCCTTACTTCGCTTGTTTCTACTATGCAATAACCTTAAGAGTGTGAAGGTTAATATAATATATAGGATAAGCTTAGGGACACACATGATTAAAATATAATCCCCCAAATCTATAGTATAAAGCATCCCTGCAGAATTATATGATCTGAACCAATATTATGTTAAAAGCAATTACAACATTTTAATTTCCACATTACTAGATAGCTTATAAATTGATTAAAACATCAACTTTATCAAACCAAATGCAATTATTAAAGCTGCATTTCAGCCTAAGATTTAAGGTCATTACGATGTTTGGTAGCAGAAGAAGAAATTGATATTTTATAGGTCAGAACTGCATCCCAATGCATCCCAGTGCATGTTCATTCAGAAGCAAGTCTGACTGAGTTCAACAAAGTTTACTCTAAAGTGTGCAGAGGAATACAACCTAAAACTGCCAAAGCTGTAAATGTTTCTTCTGCAAATATTTTAGCTGCATCCTGAGGAGTCACAGGACAGTATAACAGAAAACCATTCTTCAGTGACCTTCTGTTTAAGAAAAAAAGAAAGCAACCTCTGCAACAAGATTTTTTAAATTCTCCCATTCATTTGGAAACCAGCATAGTAGCAGCAGATTACCTATCTGTGGAGAAACTGGCTTTTCTTGCCAGTGATACAACCTGAGTTAGGAGACCTGGTTCACATGGTCATCACAGCTTGCAATGACTTAAGCCATAGGATATGTCATGGACAATTTCATAGAATCACAGTATAGCTGAGCTGGAAGGGGCAAATAAGGTCATTGGGTCCAACCCACAGGTCAGTGCAAGACTCCCAAGTTAAAGCATCCTTAACACATGGTTGTCCAGCTGCATCTTGAATGCATCCAGTGTGAGAAAGTCCATGGCTTCCCTAAGTAATTGGTCCCATTGCTATATTGCTCGAACAGTCAGGAAGTTCTTCCTCACATTCAATCCAGAATCTGGCTTCCTGTAATTTGAGACATTTATTCCATGTCCTGCATTTTGAGAGGTCCTGGCTGTCCTCTCTGTGACAACCTTTCAAGTACTGGAAATTTTCATTATCAGTTATCTTTGTTCTAAAAGCTAAACATGCCCAGTTCTTTCAATCTCTCATTACAGGATTTTGTTTCCAGTCCCCTGATGATATTTGCTGGCTTCTCTGAAACATTTCCAATTTGTCTGCATCTTTCTTAAACTGTGATATCCTGAACAGGATGCAATACTGAAGATGAATCCTAACCAGTGATGAGGAGAATCTAGTATGTTATGTGGTTTGGAAATGATACTTCTATTAATGCAGCCAAAAGTAATGGGAGGGGGGTTGCAGCCACATCACATTGGTGACTCACATTCAGCTCATCATCTACAACAATCCGAGATCCTTCTCATTTACAGTATTGTTGAGCCAAGCATCCCTCATCTTGTAATGATGCATTTGATTTCCTTTTCCTAGGTGAAAAACTTGGCATTTGACCCTACTAAATTTCATTCTGTTGTTTTCAGCTCAGTGTTCAAAGCTATCAAGAGCACACTGAATGTTGTTTCTATCCCACCCAATTTTGTGTCATCAGCATATCTGATAAGCATTCCCTGTAGCACTTCATTCAAATCCTTCATAAAATGCTGAAGAACAACTGGCCCAGGACTGAGCCCTCCAGTACCTCACTCATTACCTCTCTCCAATCAGAGAAGGTGCCATTGGCAAACACTCCGAGTTCAATTTTGGAGCCAACTGTATATCCACCTGAGTTGTTCTACTGAACCCATTTTTAGCTAGTTTGCTAATTTATTTATTTGATTTATATCCTGCCTTTTTCCTACAAAGGGCTCAAGGCAGCTTATATCATTCTCCTCCTCCATCGTATCCCCACAACAACAACCCTGTGAGGTAGGTTGGCCTGAGAGTCTGTGACTGGCCTAAAGTCACCCAGTTGGCTTCATGGCTGAGCGGGGACTAGAACCCAGATCGTCTGAGTCCCAGTCCCATGCTCTTAACCACTACACCACTTTGGCTCCAGGGATCATGGGGCACTTTGTCAAAAGCTCAGCTCAAGTCAAGATATATTTTGTCCACAGCATTCCCACAGTCTGCCAGGGAGGTTAACTGATCAAAAAATGAGATCTGATTACTCATGCAGGATTGTTCATGTCAAATCCATGTTGGCCTCCATTGTTTTCAAGGTTGTTTGCAGACTGCCTGCTTTATAAACTGCCCAAGGAATTGGTGTGAGACTGCTTGGTCTGTAGTTCAGGGTCCTCATTGGTCTCTTTCTGAAGAAAGGAGAAACATTTGACCTCTTTTGCTCATCTGGAATCTCACCTTTCTGCCATGATTTTTCAAAGAATAATTTGAATAACTGCTGCCTGTATGTAGCATAGCTTGTAATGTCATCTGAACCTGGAAGTTATGGGTTGTTTAAGGGTTAAAGAACACTCAAATAACCCACAATCTGTTGTTAGGTCACTTGAGGATTGTTTAACAAGCCATGCAACTTGAATTTGGACAACACAAGTTGTGTCCAGGCAGTGATTATTCAAATTGTGCTAGCACGGACCACAGATAAAACAAGACACCATGGCTTATTTCACCTATACAACAGTACAGCACAGGTTAACATGTAAACCATAAGAGATGATTGGCACACACTAATATGTATAACTTTGCTAACATTCAGCTTTACTGGGGAATATGCTAAGGTCACGTTTTAAATCACAGTCATTTCCAACATTTTTCTTCTGCCAAACACTATTTTTGGACAAATACACACATGAACAGTCTTATAATGCATTCTTCATGTACATTTCACAGGCACATTTCCAAAGAATATTGCAGCAGAATCCACCATACTAACCCTCCCATAATAATAAATAGTAATATCCATATGGTTTCATTGAATACTCTATACTCCCTGTAACCAGGCTCCTTTAGAATGCCAATGAAATAATTATCAACATGCAATGTCAGAGACAAGAGATTAAAAAGCTGCCAATTTTAAGTGTTTGAGGCAAACAACAGCTAAAAGTCTAAGATGGTCCAATTTAGGAGCTAGGGCAAGAATTCTATTTTTATATAACATTAAGCAAATATAAGTTTGGACAGAGCATGCACATAGAAATCATTGTGCTTGTTGGCTACTGAGTTATAAAGAAGAATACTTAATGATTGTATATTGAACTACAGACCTATCTGAAGACTGATCACTATGAACTAGAATGTATACAGGTGCAATCCTTTGTATGTTTAGACAGATAACGCACTTCAACTCGTATGCTGTGGGTAGTACTTATTTCTGTTGAAACACGCATAGGATTGCATCCTAAGTTACCTGTGCAAAATAATGGCATGCAGTAGAAACATAAGCCAACATTTGATTCATTTCAAATAAGCAAGAATTCTAAAAGAGCATATTGTCACCAATGGAAGCCAAAAACCTGTGATTCTCAAAATGCAACTAAATCAGATTTAATATTCACACATACCAAGGCACCACACTATAGCTCATTCTGTTAAAAACAAAACACAATCTTTCCATTCATAACAACTAAAATAACACATTGTGTATATTTTACCATCCCAGACTGGTACGTCTTTGCACCATCACAAGGCTAAAGCTTAAGAAACCTTTATAACCACAAAAACGGTCAGAAGCCAACATGTTTTCCTCTTCATTTCAGCCGACAAGTAAAACAAGCAAAAGACAATTATTGACAAGTGTACCATTCTTCCACAGGGTTTCACACCAATTTCCTATTTAGAGTTTAAGAAATAAAGCTGAACTGGAAATGGATATGGGTATAAAACGGATGGGGGTGGGTAGGGGGAAAGAAAAGCTTTGTTCAGAAATAAAGCCTGCACTACTTGGCTCTTTTCTATCCCTTTGGAACAGTATGCTTTTTATACTCCAGCATCGAGCTGCCTTGCATACAAATGAGGTACAGTTCGCATCGTGGTCCTCCTCCCTTCAGACACATACGTTTCTTAAGGAACACCGGACAACCGACAACAGCCCCCGCCCACTGTCCTGCTACTGATTTAGTATCGAGGTTCAGATCGGGCAGCGAAGCTATTGTGCTGGTCCCACTAACGCCCCGCGGTCAGTCAGAAGGAGCCTCTCTGCTCTCACTCACCACGAAAATAAAGTCTGCGTCCCGGAATCGCAGAGGACAGGCCGCTTAAAATCGAGACGGCTGTAGATGAGGCTCACATACTGCGGATAAGCGAAGTCGGAGGTCTCAGCGAAAGAGATATATGGGATGGATGGAGGGGAGGTGGAAAAAGAGGGGACTGCGCGCGCATGCACCGGAGTCCTCCACCAGCCCAAACCAGCCAGCTTCAGCACGACAGCTTCCTCTGGACAGCCCCAGGTTGGAGGGATGTTTCCGCAGCAGCCCGCAACCCCGTCCCGTCCCCACAGCCCAACGAGGGCTCTTCGCGTCCCCCTCACACAGCTCGCCTGCAGCAAGGCCCGAGACCCTTCAAGTAGCGACCTTCGCCGCCCCCGCCGCCTTCCCTCCACACCGTTTGAGCCCTCTGCCGAGGAAGAAGGGAAGGTGCTCACCTCGCGCTCCGCGCAGAGCGCGCAGCCGCGTCCAACTGCCTGCCCTGGGCGGCGGCGGCAGCGGCGAGCTCGGGCGCCGGCTGCCGACTCACACGCACGGCCGGCCCCCTCCCTCAATGGCTCCTGCGACCCCCTCCGTCCGAAAGCAGAAGGAGGCGGTTGTGCTGAGTAAGCGCCGCAGCCCGCGCTCTGACAACGGCCTAAGGCGCCGGCTCGAGCCAGTCGCTCCTGTCAGGGACGGCGGACACCGGCCGAGCGCGAGAGGCTCCGAGGCGGCCCGGGCGCCTGCCCTTTCCTACTAACACTCCCGAGTACGGAATCGGGCGAACGGCAGCGAGAACACCCGGTCGATGCGAGGAGCCGAGAGAGCCGCGGATGGGCGGGGCTTAAGCCTCACGGACCGGCAGCCCTCGAGAGGCTACCAATCAAACGGCACTCCCCGCCTCCATGGCACTCTCAGTGATCCCAGAAAGAAGGCGGGCTTTCGCGAGGAGGAAGAGAGCCAATACGCGAGCGCGGGTTCACCTGCGCTTCTTCACCCCGCTTGGTAACCCCGGCGCCGCGAAGCGGAAGCGGGAAGAGTTTACTTCCGGGCGGGGACCGGCGTGCGGAGGATGAGCACGCAGCGGGGAAATGTGTCGCGCACGCGGCCCCAGCGGCACCAGAACGCCCTCGTCTTCCGCAACGACAAGTACGACACGAGCGCCCAGCGTAAGGTATGCGGGGCGCCGCAGGCATTCGATCCCTCGATAGGAGGAGGAGCTGGACGCGGGGGCTCTGGGGAAGGCAGGGGCAAGGACAACGACAGATCCTCTCCCTAGGTCGCCTCCAGTCGGAACAGATCCAGGACTCGTTTTTTCCACCCTCTGCTGCGAAACCGCGCGCTCTCTTTCTCGTGTTGTTGTTCAGTCGCGAAGTAGGGTCCGACTCTTCGCGATCTCACGGACTGCAGCAGGTCAGGCTCTCCTGTCTTTCATCCCTCAGAGTCCATCCAACCCCATGCCCACAGCACCAGTGACGCCATTCAGCCACCTCAACCTCTGCCGTCTCCTTCACCCTTTGCCTTCAGTCGTTCCCACCATCAGGGTCTTCTCCAGTGAGTTCTTCCTTCTCTTTAGGTGGCCAAAGTATTTCAGCGTCAGTATCTGACCTAAAGAACAGTCAGGGTTGATTTCCTTTAGGACTGACTGATTTGATCTCCTTGCAGTCTAAGGCAGTCTTTTCCAGCACCACAGTTCAAAAGTATCAATTCTTCCGCTCTTAGCCTTCCCTCTGGTCCAACTCTCACTGGGTTTGCATGCCCCTTTCCCTCTAATTTATCATATGGCCATATGCCACGTGCAGGGTGGGAAGCAGTACTATGTGGAAGAGGGAATTTGACTATATTTTGCCACCCAGGAATGTCAAAAAGTGTGTGTCTTGAGTTCGTATCTGCTGTTCAGCTGTGAAGAGACCTTTGAGCCCTTGATGTGCACCTGAATATTTTCTCTTCTTCATTCTGTCTTGGCTTTTTTTAAAAGCTAGACTCCAAAATAACATGTTGCTACTACCTGCCTCAGCAACCCATAGTGGGCCAGTTGGAAACCGAAGCTCTGAAGTAAACACTGCATAACTCTTGCTTTCTTCCTGTATAGGTTAAGCAGGGTTGAGTGTGTGTGAATGAAGGCAAGTGGTAGGAAATCAGGTCTAATAAGTGGCCGATCAGCCCTGTGCATATATTCTCAGAAGCATATTCAGTAGAACTTATTCCTAAGTATGTAACTCACAGAACTGCAACCCAGTCGTCTCAGATGTGTTATGTGCAACTTAATCAGAATGAGCTAGCTTTCTAAGCCCAAGCTGCATAGAAAGCATTTTTGAGGAGTCACTTAGGGAGCCATATGTTGCATCTGTCCATAGCCCTTCAGACTCAGAGAATTATGGAAATGCACTCAAATATGGCAGAAATTCAAGGTAAGGATCATCTCTGCAGGTCTCCAGCTGTGCAGTTTTGGCTATCCATGCCTTTTGCCCCTGCTTATGAGAAGGAAGGGCTGAGGCACCTTAGGGATTCCTCATATCCTGGTAGAGCCTCAGGCCTCTCTGAGCCTTGGAATCCACCCCTGCCAGTACTGATTTCAAAGTTTCATGTGCAGCTTTGGAGCCACAGCCTGTACAGAAAGAACTGTGTGAGCTTCAGGGTGGAGCAAAGGTAGTTTGCAGTCGGAGTTCTAGCTTCAGCTTTGGGACACATTTCCACGATCAGAGCTGAGGCAAGAGAATAAAGGTAAAGTTTTGGAGCCAGAGTAAGAGCTAATGGCACCCACATCCCATTGAAATCAAAATAACAATGTAGTCATGACTTGACTAACTTCTATTGAACTCAATGGGAACTAAATTCAACTAGTTTTTTCTGGATCCAGCCTTGTATATTGGCACAACTGTAAAGCTCAGAAGAAAATGATGAAAACCAACAATATGTCATTAGCTTGCATTCTAGAAAGCTTGGGTGGAGAAAAAGGTTGTCACCTGGCACTAGAAGGATAACGATGTTAGTGTAAGTCAAGTCTTCCTGCGATGGCATTGTACAGGTAAGATACCAGAAATATGGCCTCCCTGTATGTTGTTGCAAAGGTGGCTAGTATAACTTCATTGAGGAGGAAGAACTATGACTGTGATATTTATATGCGGTGTTTAATGTATGTTTTTAGCTATTTAAAATTAACTTTAATGTCTTGTTTTTATGATATTTGTATTGTACATTGTTGTTTTGTCTCAGCGCTGTTGTAAACCACCCTGAGAGCTTTGACTGTTACTTTGAAATAATAATAACGTAAATTTTAATTGTTAAGCTGAATTCTAGACAGGGAGACTAAACTCTTTCACATGCATCATCTTTCAAAATAACATTTATTATATTTATACACATTATCAGAATTATTATTATGCAACATTTCTGTACTGCTCAATAGCCAAAGCACTATTTAGGATTTACAAAAACCCTAAAATACAACATGATAGAACATACGATAAAAACTTTTTAACATACAAAAATGTGAAACAATGTGAAACAGCTTGGGAAGACATAAATATGTCCATTTTTAGACTGTAACTAAATTATCATTGACAACTTGTTGAGTTGAAGATGCAAATAGGAATAAAGTTCAAGTCTCTTCACAACTAGTGTTCTGTGTGTCAAACTCTGTTAATTTGCCAACTATTTACATCTGTTCATAGAATCATAGCATAAACTAACGAATAAAAGTAGCCAAGTTGACTTAGGTGTAATGAGTGAATTAGCTGGAATTGAACTTACAATGCATGGACATGACAAGGAATGTGATCCACAAACAATATGCAGCCTGCTCCAATGGCTGGGCAAGTTGTCTCCTCATCTGGCCTATTTAGGCCAGCAAATTAAACTGGATGCTCACCTTGACCCTCCAGCTCAGGTCAGTTAAAATTCTGACAACCTACAAGGCAGGAACAAACCCTTCCAGAATGCAGTTCTCGGTAGGTTGCTATTTTCAGGCCAGCTCCCTCAAAACCCCAAGAATCAAGCATCTGTCAAGGTTCTTGATTCTTGAGTCCAAGTTGAAATAGCTCAAATGAGATTGAAGATAAAATTGAAAGGATGAGATTTATGTAAAGCCACCTTGAGTTCTTTGGAAGGAAAAAGGTGGTATATGAGATGGGACTGAAAAGTTCTTGGTCTAACCCACTTGGACCAAGTGGTTTTTGGTTTGGTTTTGTTTGTGTTGTTCATCTGTTCTGGTTGTGGTTGTTGTTCACTTTGTAGTTTTTTTTGGATACTGAGAACTTTTCAGCCTCTCTTCCTAGATATAATAAATAATCCAAACAGAAACCAGACACAAGCTTTTATGGTTCACTGGTATATTCCAAGACTTGGCCACACAGCTTGACATTCAAGGTATGCATTAGTTCAAGGTTCAGGAGGACCCCAAGAAAAGGAGTACCTAGTACCAGTATCATGTCCACCAACTTCTTTGGGCTCTGTGCCTGTTTTCATGTGGGGGCAGTGCAACTAGGGTTGTTTGTTAATGGGTGTTTTTACACTTGCATTTCCATCTGTCTACATTGTTTGGACAATATCTTTGGGCCTTGCCTCTTCTGGCCAAGTCTTCCTCTGCACTGTGTATCAAGGAATGTTTCTCAAACTGGAGTAGCTCGAGTGCTTCTTCCCATGCTAGTCCTGGCTGTAGCTGGGAAGGGGTATCTGCCTCCCCAGTTGCATTATTCTGGGAAACCAGGCAGAGACAAGTTCCCGTTTCTTTGTCTAGGCCCCAAATTAGATCCTCCTATCTCTGAATAAGAGTCTTCCTCTGAAGAGAATGCATGACAAGCATACGCCAGTCAGGGTGCTGCATCCTGACAGTGTCCTCAACAGTGAAGCTGTTCACCACTGGGCCTTTAGTGCTACAGTCCTCTGACCATGATGCTACAACCAGGGCATGCAGCTCCTAGCAGGAGATTGCTAATCTACAGGCAGAATAATAGGAAGCACTAGAACATTGGAAGCTCCCTCATGCTGAGTCAGACCAATGGTTCATCTATCCCAGGGGTCGGCAACCTTTAACACTCAAAAGAGCCATTTGGACCCATTTCCCACACAAAAGAAAACACCAGGAGCCGCAAAACCCTTTTTACATCTAAAATGAAGATAACACTGCATATCTCATTTTTTACCTTAATGCTATGTATATCTTCATTATGATTTAACTGCAGCTCTTGTTAAAACTGTTATTTTTAATCTTCCATTATAAACTAGTAGGACTCCTTTCATATATTTTGAATAGGAGAACAGCTTCCAGAAGAGTCAAAGTCAGTGCTAAAGGGCTGCACGCATTAAACAGCAAACCCCATAAGTTCGTCAGCAGTAAAAGCAAATTAATCTACCCATGTACCATTAAACTTTGGTTTTCTTCCGAATAGGTGTGTTTAGTGACTGATTAGCAGATAAACAGTCAAGTGCTGTGAATTGTGACAGATCCCAAGGGCAGCTTTTAACATTCAGATGAAGGAGATTACACTGGGACAAAGAGAATCTTTTCAGCAGCTTTTGGTGTAACCTGAGAGCCTGCAGGAAGCTTGTTTAGCAGAGGAATGCAGCGATTTACTTAACTAGCTAGCTTAACTAGCTGCATTCCTGAGTGGAGCTTCGAGCAGATCGGTGGCTGTGCCGGTGCGTGTTTTAAGCAATGGAGCCGCAACAGGGGGGTTCAAGAGCCACGTGCGGCTCCGGAGCCGCAGGTTGCCGACCCCTGATCCCAATATTGTCAGCACTGATCAGCATTGGCTCTCCAGAGTTTCAGGCAGGAGTCTTGGAGCCTTTTTCAGCCTGGGAGGAGAGGGTGGGAATTGAACCAGGAACTGTCTGCATGCAAAGCATCTGCCCTGCAACTGAGCTATGGACCCTCCCACAGTATCACTACTTTGTGGACTGCCATCATCTCCAAAGAGACTCAAGAAGATACAGGATACAACCCCTGACAGAGGTAGAATTAGAGGTAGCAGGCATCTGTAGTAGCCACTTTCAGCACCAGTTGAAGTACTAGCACAAGAACTGAAAAATGAAAGTTCAAATTCTACTACAAACAGATAATTACCAGTTATTTCATTGGTTTAATACTACTGAAAACACTGTTTAAGTAATTCATGATGGATGCATAAGAATGAAAGGCATGACCACTGATTGAGGACAGGAAAATCACTCCCA